TTTATGACATTTTATAGTATAACTGTATAAATATGTGTTTTTGTTTAAAGAAAAGTTTGATGGATAGAATAGAGACGCATTCATACTTTTTCAATGGATATAAGTGATTAAAAAAATAAAGTTGCATGTTAAAAAAAAAAAAAATTAAAGAAAATTATGATATGAATTCATAGGAGAATGCTCACCTACCCACGGTGGGCACATGTTAATATGCTGTGAATTCATAGTATAATACATATCTATTAAAAACAGTACGACGAGCATTCATGCTTTTTAAATATATATTTGTCTTTTAAATTGATATGTCATACCTATAAAATCATAATATTTCATAATATAAGTATGTATTTTATTAAATACAGTATGATGGAGCGATGAATCTAACAATTATAGTGTGTTTGACAAGCACCATAAAGTAACTTATAGTTTATTTGATTAGTTTTATAAGCTTTTTGTATATAAATGAACTTGTTTTAGTAGAACGGGCTTTTCTTAAAAATTCGAACTTATCTCATAAACTTATTTTAAGTTCGTAATTTTTTATTTCATCTCGTTCTCAGTTAATTTTACCAAACACTTTTATCATATTGAATGGTCATCTACAAAGTCATTAGTCATTAGTAGAGCTGTCAAAATCGGGCTGAAGAAAAGCTGGCCCAACCCGTCCCCGCCACAGTAGATGGTTGGTGTGTTTTTTGATCACCATCGAGTTTTGCACTATCACGAGAGCGGAATTATGGGGCCTTTACCAAGGTCTGATGATAGTCTGAGTTGTAATATTGTTGTTGAAGTTGACAACTCAAGTGTGTTATCCATGGGGAAAGACAATTTAATGGACAATTTTGGTGTCCATGGTAACTTGGTTCGAGCCATCCATGAATTGCTTAGTCGAGCTTGGGTGATTTCAGTGGCTCATTGTTATAGAGAAGGTAACTTTGCGGCTGATTGTGTGGCCTCTCTTGCTCATTGTTGCTCTACTGGGTGCCAGAGATTATCGGACCCCCCATCAGTAGTAAAATCGTGGTTATAACATGACTTAATTGGTGTTGATTACTCATGGAATATAGCTCTCTGATGGTGTTAGGTTTTTTATCTCATTTTTTTGAAAAAAAAAAGAGTAAAAAAATATGATTTACGAAAAAGTCAAAATTAATATCAATCACATCCTCAATTTTCAGATAAACATTCAAGTAATTTTTATTAATGAGCGGGAGGATAATATGAGGTTTGGTTAACATAATTTAATCATTTACACCTATAAGTAACATATAGTTAACGAGAACACCAAAGTAGTTTCATAAATAAAAGTAGCAAATGGGAACTAAAATAAATGGCTTTTAAATCATTTAAATATATGATAAATTTTACTTTTCAATATTTTCCTATTCATTTTTTTTTTTGTGATTTTGTTATTTTTATGAAAAATACACCCTCTTAATTAGGCATATAAATGGCCTCAAATCGAGCTCGATTCGACTCGTTTATCACTAATAACAAGCCGAGTTTCGAGCCTTAACTAGCCGATCTCGAGATTTAAAAAGTCGAATTAAAGAAAATTATATATAATTTTATTTTTTAACCTTAACGAGCTTTAAATGATCTTGGGCTCGATTTATTTATATAAAATAAGTCGAGCCAAACTCGAGCCTTAATGAGAGGGCTCGAGTTATTGTTCGAACTAGGGCTTAAACACTTTGAATATGAACTCAAACTCGAGTTAGTAATTTACACGTTCGAGCAATATTCAACCTAATTAGAGCTCGTGCAGGTGCAGCTATTATGACTCGGAACTCCACAATCATGGCACACGCAGGCGGCGCCACCCACTCTACGCCGGCGCGGCGGTTTTCTCCTGATCCACCTTCGACCGGAAAACGCAAGGGCCACCACGATGCCTACGCTGGACACCACAGAACAAAGAAACAGAAGTTCGCTTCTGCAGATAGCGAGACCCGTATTCGAGTTCATACCCTAAAACCCAAACTTCGCACACACCGTGAGTGGGAACACAGGCATACGAGGTCCTTCGGAGGCAACGACGGGGGCCGTCCGAAGCTGCGCCGCCGCAGGACTCGCTGTCGGCGCAAGTGGACTTATTCTACTCGGGACGTGTCCGATTACAAGGGTAAGTGCGCTGTGGGTGGAATCTTTGATGTCCTAAGTTAAATTATAGTCTCCAGAAGAACAAAATCCTGCTCATTGTTCTGAATTTATGGAATTAGTTGTGGCTTTTCAGTTGGGAATTTGTGTTGTGTGAAAGTAAATTCAGTGATTGCGGAAAAAAGATCGACATACAATAAGAACTTGAGAAAAATATTTGCTTTAGCATGTTCTGCATGTCATTAATTCCACATTTTTCATTGTTGGAGCCTTTTAAACTAAGTTTTTTAAACAATTAATTTATCTCTTTCGTGGGATTTCTGTTTGCATTGCCTGGCCTGATGCAAAATATACTCTATCTCTATGTCATCCATATTGTTAGTTAGTACAAAGGACTAGGCATTATCTATATACAATGCAGACAAGTGGTTTTTAAGTCTTCACTTTTGGTACCCTAAAAGTACCACATTTTTGCTTTTGGTACCCCGAGGTTCCAACTTAATCGGTCACTAATGTTTTCAAAATTTTGATCCAAACGTTAAAAGAACACTTAATTTGACGGTCACCACCTTCTGCCGCTGCCTGCTGCCTCCAGTGACGGATTTTAACAAATCATATACCATTTTAAAGATGATCGAGCTACATCATTAGATTCCTCAAGAATTTGGTTTACTATACCTATATTTATTATAGAAGTCGCAACGGTTGGATCTTGGTCGAACTTTAAGGCGTATTTTGTTCAAAAAAGTTTTAATCTTGAACGCCAAATTTGACGAACTTGGAGATATCTTATGATGTAATAAAAGATACGGTTGGATAGGTCGAGTCGAGATATTTAAAATAGTATATGATTTGTTAAAATTGGTCACCGGAGACGACGACAGCGGGCGGCGGAAGGCGGTGACCATCAAATTTAACTGTTGTTTTAACGTTTGGAACAAAACTGATTAATTTTAAAAACTTTAGTGATGAAAACTGATTAAGTTGGAACCTCGGGTACTGAAAGCGAAAAAGGTGGTATATTTGAGGTACAAAAAGTGATTTTTTCCTTTCTTAAGTTTATGCCTTTCTAGTGTAATCAGAATGTGATGTTGTGTGACTTCCATTTTTTTTTTTTTGTGAAAACAATTATGTTGTCCAATGTTTGCTGACCTGATATCTTCATTTCCTTTCTTTTGATTTAAATGCTCCTTTAAACAGACCGGGTTGTTATTGTATCGTATAACATACTTGCTGCTGAAAATGCGAGAAATCATCCAGAATTGTATAGGGACGTGCGGCCAAAGCACTTGGATTGGGAATATAGGAAGAATATTCTGTGTAAAGAAATCAAGAAATACCAAGCAAGTGTCTTGTGTTTCCAGGCAAGCTAAAGCTCCTTTTGGAGCATAATGTTTGTTCACCTGTGTATTGTTCTGGTCAATAATGAAGTTATTTGATGTGTAACATATGGCTGTACGCCCTTAATAAACTGAAATCAGCATCATATATGAGAATACAGAGTAACTTTTCAGCTTGGGATTTTTTGTTGTCATCAAGATTTTTTCATATAATGGTTTGTTATGAAAAAAAATATTTGCTAATTTACCTTTCCCTTTTTTGTTTTTCCAACATTGTACTTCTTGATATATTGATTAAAGTTCTTAGAATGCTTTCATATTTTCTATCTGTAAATAGTTATTTTAAAGGGAATATCATTATTATCCAAAGCACATGCCTGATTTGAGTTGCTCTGCCTGATCTTTATTTGTATTCTCATAGTTATCTTGGGTGACCTCAGGAAGTCGATCACTTTGATGATCTTAACGATTGTCTTGGAGAAGACGGCTTCAGAGGTTTGTACAAGGTTTGTACGAAATTGCGGCTTTTGTTGCCTTGCATTACGGTGCAAACAATATTGATTACAGTTTGTTATTTGGTTCATCAGGCTCGTGGGGGTGAAGCACGTGATGGATGCGCTATATTTTGGAAATCTGAGCTGTATGATACTTCCTTTGTATACCTTTTTACATTTGCTTGAGTTCCTGCAGGAATAAAAAGATAGCTGGTTTTCATTTTTGCAGTAGGCCTTCATTACCTTTTTTTTTTTCGAAAGCCCCGGAAAGAAGGAAAAGAGGTCGATCCCTTGACATCTAAATCAACCAAATCAGTGTTTCTTTTTTTTTTTTGGGGCACACACCATCATCTGACTCCACTAGAGAAATGTTATCTTGAATTAAATAAGTGTGTTGCATTGAATCATTTTTAGTGGAATAGTTTCAAGTTAATTTGGGTCTAGCGAGAGCTTGCTTTCTAAAACCCCTGAATTGTGAGTCTTTAGTATTTTCCTCTACGTCCTTTTCACCTTGTTGTATGTGCAGTTTCCGTTTTCGCTTTTCATGGACAACGTGCATAATATACTGCAGATTCACTCTGTTGCATGAAGAGAACATAGAGTTCGCGAGGTTTGGTCTTCGTCAAAACATTGCACAATTTTGTGTTTTGAAGGTACTGATGTTTGGATTCGTTGCAATAGGGTTTACTTTACTTCAGATCAAATGCGTACTTCATGGATGTGAATTTTTCTGTTATGTAATACCAAGAACCTTGGGTTCTGATTCTGGTTCGTTCTTAGTATATCTGTTGGAACTAAGTTTTTGGTGGTGAAGCTGATATTGTATCAATATGTTATAATATATTATTTTCTGCAACTGACCTGTTTTCAGATGAATAAAGACCTGGCCAGCACGGACGATATTGCACAGCCTCCATGGTAGTATTTGATATTGCACATCAAATTCGATATTTCTTTTATACAGTTCGTTTTTTTTTTTTTGCTGTAAAATGGTACTGACTTGTGAAATATCAATTGCGACTCTCTCATTTAATAGTTATTACTCTCTCTTCGTAATTTATGTAACAAATGTTTATTTCAGTGTTATTACCTCTCCAAGTTTACTGGTTGGAAACATACATGTCCTGTACAACCCCAAGCGTGGAGACATCAAATTGGGTCAGGTGATCAAGTTGATAATAGTTCCTTGCAATTTAAGTATTGGTTGTGCCGACTTGTTAAAAAAAAAGAACATTCATACTGGAGTAACACAATAACTAAATATGTCATGGACTTGATTTGCTTCTAGACTTGCCTTGTTAATCCTTTCTTGATATTTCTATTGGTGCTTTTTATGAATGCTGTTGTTTTTGATATATTATCTTGGTGGGTGTAGATGAGGATATTTCTTGAGAAAGCGTATGAGTTATCACAACAATATGGACAAATACCAGTTATTCTTACTGGGGACCTGAATAGCTTGCCACAAGTGAGTCGTGAACTTGAAATTCTAAATAAAACCTGCAAAGCTATTATTGGTTGCCTATATTTGAACTTTTTTGATCTTTTGTTTATCCAGAGTGCAATATATCAGTTTTTGGCATCATCTGAGGTCTGTTCTGAATCTCTGCCATGCAACACAACATCCTTTTTAAGTTCCTTATAAGGTCGAGTCATATATAAAATTCCTAAAATATTCTTAGTTTATAACAGTTGAATTTCCGACAGTTTGATCGAACACACATGTCTGGTCAGATATTTCCATCTCGATTCCTAGAACCCAAGTTTAAGGTTAATCATGTAACAAGGTATTCTAAATAACTCCTACCATTTACTCCCGTTATATTTGCTTGTTTGTGCAGTAAGTTGTTCAACATCTTTTGTCGCTCAAATCAACTAGTTACATAAAAAATAACCTAAAAACTCAAAAAAAAAA